ACCAATCAGAACAAAGAATTTTGCGAATTGACTAATCAAAGAATGCTTCGAAGCGTTTGTAGCGTCAAATGGACCGCAGCCTTTGTATCTTCAAAGGCTGTGTTCGGAAACATGATCCGAGTGTCCCCGCGTGTCGTTTCATCCTTGTTATTAACCCAATGTTAAATAAGGACAAAACGATACACGGGGCACCCGAGTGATGTTTCCGAACGCAGCCAAACAAGGTGAAAATTACAAAAGTGAGTAAATTTACTAGGTGAATTTATTAGGTTGACCAATTAAATGATTAATATTCTAGTAAATTCGCTCACTTGTAATGCGGGGTCTACAATGAAGTCGTAACGGTCGTAGGGTCTTAAGTCGTAGAAAATTGATCAATCACAGTTGATTGTTCTTCTCATATTCGACTGTGATTGGTCAATTTTCTACGACTTAAGACCCACGACTGCTACGACTTCTATTGTAGACCCCGCATAATTTTCATCTTGTTTGAAGATACAGAATCGACCCCTTGACTAGAGTCCTAATGCCCGTGTCACACTACGCATTGGAGATTGAGGATTGCAAATTAAGGATTAGAATTCGACCAATCAGGTAATTTTAAGTTTAATCCGTTTCGTTCTAATTGGCTGAATTTTAATTCTCAATTCGCAATCCTCAGTCTCCAATGCGTAGTGTGACACGGGCATAAGGCCGGAATCAGACTACGCATTGAAGATTGAAATTTGACCAATAAGGACAAAGAAAGTTTAGCTCCTTTCGTTTCGATTGGTCAAATTTGAATTTTTCAATCTTCAATCTCAATCTTCAATGCGTAGTCTGATTCCGGCCTTACTCACTCCAACGCGCTTGATAGAATGAGTAGGAGATATGTTGGAGCATGTTGGATCTATTATATATTTAAAGAAAATGTAGGAAATTATATGGTTTTATAACATCCCATAGGAATTCCTAGGAATTGGTTGTCTCATGTAGGATCAAGCTTATAATATAAATAACTGGAAGTCAGTCAAAACGTCCGAAAATAGAAAATTGTTTATACATTTGAATTACAGAATATAATATAGTTTATTATATATAGTGCATCTTTAATCGCGCAGTTTATTCTCATTTGAATATTTATTGAATTAAAAACTTCAAAGTTCTAATAACTAAATTTCAATGAAATTATTACGACGGTGTTACATGATATTATAGATATTATCAGTCTACTGAGATATAAAAAATTCCCCAGTATATAAATTTTGTAAAGAGACACAGAGATGTATTTAGTGTATTGGAGGCACAATGATGTATTTAATGTATCAACATATGTACAGTGAAGCATAATGTTGGCATATGCACAGCGATTTGCATGTATTTAATATCACATTAAGATCTATCTATATTTATTGAACTTGACTCTTATTTGCCCTTTATATTCGTTAGTTATTTAAATTTAAAAGTCCTAGATTTTATTATATTTATATAAATTTTCTTATATAAATTTTTTAAAGACTTTATTTGAATTCTGAGATCTCTTAAGATCTTAAAGGATGTTTTAAGAACTTAATTTTATGTAATCTCATACAAGAGATTACAAGACCTTATACGATTCGAACAAGGACTAATTAAATTTCTTATAGGGATTATAAGATTCTATATGAACTTTCTTATATATAAGATATGTACAGATTTTCTATGAAAATCTTAAATCGTTTAAGATCCTACAAAATCTTAAAAGATGTTTCCAGACCTCAAAAGATTTTGTTCTCACGCAAGTACTTATGAGATCTCATACGATTCTTACAGGAACTTATCAGATTACTTATAAATATCTATAAAAATTTTCGGCAGAATCGACAATCATTTGCAAAAACTTTTAAATTTTATTGTGTAAAATACTAAAATTTACTTTTGCTTCTCCTTTATTTCATCGCCAATAAATTTTTTTGTCAGTTTCTACTTTCTACGTCACAGACTGGAATTAGGCCAGAATTAGACTACACATTGAATATTGAGATTGAAGATTGAAAGATTGAAATTTGACCAATCAAAACAATAAGAACAAAAATTCCTTTGTCCTCACTGGTCAAATTTTAATCTTTGATCTTCAATCTCAATCTTCAATGCATAGTCTGATTCCGGCCTTATACCGGCCTTAAATGCAATTGAATGTATTTTCATCAAAATTGAAAATGGCAGTTAAGGTAAACATTTGCCAAGAAGTTAAAGTAAAAGATGAACATATCATTAGTTTAGGTGAACATATTTAGCCTGTTCATTATTGTGTATATTTTATCAAACCATACTAAGTTTCTTTCTCGTTTTCTGCAAAATGAGTGTACAATAGTTTAGCTATAAAGAACAAATTTATTAACAGATTCCTAAGAAAATTTTCTTAGGAAATATATTCTGAAAAACTTTCTCAGGAAACATATTTTGAATAAACTCATACATTACTTGTTGTACATAACAATATTTTATTTTCAGATTTAAGATCATATATCCATTTACCAGCCTCGTATTTTACTCTGAGAAGCCGATGTTAATATCCATGTTTTGTATGCTTTCTTTTTAATCTTGACTTGTTTATGTCTAGGATGAGTTTTGCACAACACATACCATGTCTCATTCTTACATAGAAAGTAACAATCCTTGCAACGTAACTGTAACCGACCTTTTGCTTTTAAACCACATACTGAATTATATGTGGGCAGTATGGGTTGCAAAAGAAAACGTGTACTTTTGTGATTTGATAAATTGCTCGACGAATTTAATTTCTCTCTGTTGCACATGTAGTGGATTTTGTGAAATAATATATTTTTCACAGTCGGGATCGTCAAAACTTTTGGAGCCATGGAATTAATTGTTTGGTATACTGATTTGAAAATTACAGCGACATTCATTCTTGCTATAAACAAAAATTAATATATATTAATGTAATGACATAGGGTTTTTAACTTCATATCTTTTCAATAAAAAAAAGGAATACAAATATATATATATATATAT